GCATTGTTGCTGATGCTTTCTTAAAGTTTTAATGAGTTGGTAGCTATATTATTTCTCCCACTAATAAGTACAATATATAAAGCCATAAAGATGTGACACCGATGATTTAAGGTATTGAGGTGATCATAATGAATTTATGCTGCAGGTTCTGTGCATATTTGCTTAGCAAGGTAAAAATTCAGAAGGGAAAATCATTTCAAATGCAAACACCAGAGTCTACACCTAGGAAGTAAATGGTGATTGCCAGGACGAAGAAGTCTCTGCTCATGAAGGGTACAAATTCTGTTGTAAGCTGTCTGTGAATCAAAAGTTATTCAACCAAGCTTGATGGTCTCCCAGAAGCCCAGAGGGGAAGTACAGTCTTTGCTGCTCATGACAGCTGTCACACACATCCTGCCAATAACAAGTGCACTCAAAGGTGACTTTGAAGTCAAATTTAGCTGACATAACAGGAGAGACAAAGAATCACCAGGGATGGATAGGTTATGATGAATGGGGTTCAAAGGTATTGACATTGAAAAACATTTTTCTAAGGCAAAGTTAAGGTTTTACTAATTTAAGACATACCTCCCAATAATGAAATAAAGATACCTAGATTAAATTAGAAGGAGATTAACATTTTCTGTAGCAATGACTAAGAAGGGTAAATTACCAACAGGAATGGATCAAGGTTTGGAAAACTGCATTTAGGGCCTTGTGATCATGACTTCTTGGGCAGTGCATAGGAGATGTGATCAAATATATAGTGAAAGTTCAAATCCAAGAAATTCTTACAGAAAAGACGCATTACCCTTACCCCTCCCCATAAACTCCTTCTCTTTGAACACTTTAATCCAGTTATTCTTGGCCACTTTCTGAAGCAGTTCTGAAAGTCTTCTTTCATGACTGTCTTTAGTTACATTGTCCTGGCTGTCCTGATGCTCTGAATTGATTAAAAAAAAATGTACCTTTGATACTAATGTTGACTTTAGGGAAGAGCCAGAAGTTGTATGGTGCCACAGCTAGTGAATAAGGTGATAAGAACATACTGTGATGTGTTTATGAGGCTACCTTTTGTTCAATGGCACTCACTATATTTCTGACCATGTATCATAAAAACACCCATGAAGGAGCACTTCCAGCACTGCTTCAGGAAGTGGCCAGAACAATGGAATAAGTATATTTTAAGTGAGGAGAAGTATTTTGAAGGGGTTAATGGCAATGTGGTTTTCTCTGTGATATAGTTTTTAAAATGTAAACATTCACTATTTGGGGGTCACATCTTGTATTTGAACCACCCAGCTGTTGTAGAATCAGATACCCCAAAGTCACCGAGGACAACCTCTTTAGGCAAATGTCTACGTCTCCTGGTGTTTGCATCAGAGTGAGACGACCATTCAAAGCACAGTCTACATGGGTTTGAGGCTGACTTGCACAGCAGCTGGAAACTGTGTGAACAGCTCTGCACAGTCACAGTGATCAGCAGTGGATTATCTACATGTTCCCAGGGACTGGAAATCCGCCATGGTCCTGCATGCCCACTCTAGTTTACTCAGGCTTTGAAATCTGACTGAGTTAGTAGACATCCAACTGGAGTCATTGGTGCATTTTACATGACTGTTTGGTGGAGGTAGTGACCCCAAGATGAACCCTTCTACTTAGCAATTTTTTTTTTGGTCTAGTGAACATCTATCATGTATTTTCTCTTGGAGAAATGCTCTTTTTGGATGGTAGAAAGAGCAAATAAAGAGTACAGTATATACAAGATGATATTTAATACTTACTTTGAAGTCGTTTCCAAAATGCTATACCTATAAAAGAAGCCCCTTTTGTGAACAGCCTAAAATTGTGCCCTTCCTAATGATTTGTGCTACTTACCAGATGGTCAAGTAAGGTTTGGGAATGCAGGCTGGCATGCATGGTATCACCTTTACTGCTTCTGTTCAGGATTCAGATCATTCTATCTTTTCTATTGGTAAACATGAGTTTTCCAGCTCAGTGTCTTAAAATCTAGTTACTGAAGAAATGTGCTGCATAATGGGCTTAATGATCCAGGACTGGAATAGCAGGGATCTGGAATGAAGTCTGTCAGGAGAGCTATGCTATTTATATATGAGCAAAGCTTACACAGGCAGTTCTGTATTATCCTTGCTGCTATTAATAAGCTTGCACTCTTCGTGAGTAGCTAATTTAAAATGAATCTTAGATGATTAAAAGTACCAAAAATGGAAAGGAACCTTGAACCATCTCTGCCCTCATAGCCCTGATAATTAATAGACTATGTGTCCAGGATATAATATGACTGGCTGGTGATAGTATGATTTATAATTGTTATCCTAACTGCAACCTTCAGTTGGATTAAGCAATATTTTCACTGACCTCTCCATGTCCAAGAACTCTGTTCTGTGACTCACGCCATTTTCCTTTTTCTACATGGTATCGTCTTGTCTTTTGTTCCTAAATATTACGCAGCCATCAGGTTCAAAAGAAGTTCCTCAAAACTTTTCTCCAGCTTCTCTATCTCATTTACATCTCCATTTTCTGAATCATGACTAGACTGAGTTTTACAATTTACTACACAGTGTTCTCTGTGGTTGTTAATTTGACCTTTCGCATTTCTTGAGAGCCAGGTACCACACGTCCTCTCCATTATTGGATACCCAGTAACACGGCTCTTGTTAAGATGGGGGTGCTGGTCAGACCTGTACTGTGGGTTCATTTTCCAAATGCCCAACAATATAGTCCTCTATTGACACTGAATGCTAAGAAATTCCACAGTTTCATGATCCAAAAGAATTATACAAAATTACTAACCTGAAATGCACAAGGGGTGTTATCCACACAGTAAACTCTCAAATTGTAATCCAGAGAGTTACAGGACATGCAGCCAAAGACTGCCACCTTGAGTTGCTTCACAGCACAGTCTGTGATTGGCTCTCCTGTAAGGGCATAGGTCCCAAAACTATCAAGGAGCACATGACATGCAAAGGGATCCAGAAGGCAGTAACAGGATGTGGATTCATCCTCCACTGACATCACTTCCTGTTGGAGAAAGATGCATTAAATTATCTGAGCTTGCAAAAAAGATGGAAGTTAGCACTTTACAAGGACATAAACAAATAAACCAATGTGAAGAAATATTTTTTCAGAATATTTTTATTATCTTAATTATCTGATGTTAAGCATGCCTCTTCTATTAAAATAACTGCTTAATTCAAAAGCCCAATAAGTGGCTATGTTTAGGGAGCAATAATTCTACTTTGATTATAATAACAAAAATCACTTTGGAATTCCATTTCTGGTTAATGGTTCAATGTCAATCTTAAAAAAATGTTGAACATTAATTTCAATAAAAGAAACATTTTTTTATAAAGTTCTATTTCAGAAAATCTTTTAAAATACCCATAAAGTAATGTTTATTTTCTCTTAAACATTTTATCCTCTTTCATTTCACTGAAATCATTCATGAGGGACCATTAAATAAATGATTTGGATATAATGTACTGGAATATTTTACTCTCTCTGATAAGAACTTTGATCTGTGTGGCTGGCCTGAGAGAGCATAAATATAACACCATCTGGATGTAAAAGAACGTGAGGAAGTGCTGAGAAGAAAAACTCAACCAGTAAAAATCAAGGCAAAGAAAAACATAACAGGAAGGAGACCAAAATATGCTTCCTGTATGAACTACATGCCCCAAGATAATTGTCCTGGGATAAGTACTGAATAAAGCACAATGCATCAAGACACAGCTGGGCACAATATATGTAATCCACTGCAGCTAGTGAGAATTTTCTACTCCTAAAGAAATTTTCTTTTTCCTTTTACTTCTTCTGTCTGAAGCACCTCCTGCAAGGCAAGATCCCAGGTCTGGCTGGTGCAGGTCATTGTGTTCCAACAAGATAATACATCTGCTTTCATGCAAACTGACTTCAGACAGACATAAAGGAATTCCTATCAGACAGATAAATCAGAGCTTTTCACTTAAAATAGTCATTCCATTACAATTGTTCTCTGCTGTGCTGGTCCCCCTAGCTGTTAGCCCCTTATTATGTATCCTCCACTCTTGTCTCCTTTTCTGTTCTCTCTTGTGAGTGTTCTCACATGCACAGGGAAACAGACACTAGCAGCAATCCTCAATGCATTCATTAATTCACAGAACTCAAAGTCCCTACTGGGTTTCTGGTCAACCTAGTTATGTTAGAATGTACAGGGTGGGGGAATAAGTGATATTGTGGTTTGTTTTCTGCACACAGCCTCCCTGCCCAAGGCTCCTCCTTATGTCCAATAAATAACATTAGACAGGGCATGGCCTGGGAGGTGAGGGAGTCAGTGAGCAGGTACATAGTTTTTCCCAGGGACAGCTCTGAGGGTAATTACAACTACCAAACAAAATGCTCTTTTCTTTTGATCTCTTGCCTCTCTTTTCCATTACTATAGGAAAAAATGAGCCAATAGCTTCAGAATTTTATAAAATGTGTGTCACAACTCCTTTGCAACAAGAAAAGGTTCAAAACCTCATTGTGCTAAGACAGGTAAAGCTATCCAGAGAACCCAACTCTCATTTTACAGAAAAGGAGGAGTAGGGGCTCACCTCCCACTTGCCCTGCTGAGTCCTCTTCTTTAAGTGGATGTTCCAGTGCTCGGAGCTGACATCTGCACAGTGAGGGATTGTCAACGCAAAGGGGGTCGTGACGATCATCTCGGGAGGACCGCAGGTGACTTCTGGACTCAGGAGGACCTCAGACCCTTCTGACTGCAGGCTTCATTGTGGAAAGGAGAAAAATGGACAGGAGGAGGTGTTGTGAATGAGGATTCACTACAGGCTGGGAAACCCCGGGGGCGAGCAAGTCCCTGCCCAGAGTTGCTTTCTGGGTAGCACCTTATTTACCAAGGGCAACTCTGAAAAGCCGTTGTTAATTTTAAACTCCTCCAGCACACATGCCAAGCTGGATTCCAAGCCTAGGTTTTGAAGAACAAATCAACGAAATAACAAATGCTTCCTTGGGCAGAATCAGGGGACTCTAATACTGATTGGTGGGTCACACCTCAGCTGCTGAATCTTTTATTTTTCTTGATAATATTGTCAATGACAAAGTTAAAAGCATTCTACAAATGACTGATCTGGTAGTCTTATTACAATCAGATTACTTTTTCTCCACCACACACTCAATAATATTTTTAATGCTGGTAAGTGATGAAACAAATTATTGTGGAACAAAACAGTACTTCAAACATGCAGAAATTGAGAATGTTTATTCTGGTTTTGAAAACACTTATTTTCTGTCAATGCATAATACATAGGTTATATAGGGATAGCACAGTAGACAGTTAGTTATAAATGTGCATACTGTAGCACATAAATATATATTTTAAACTCTTTCCTATTTCATATCTGAATATAAAATCAATCCACCCAATCCTGATGTTCAGATTTTTTGTACTATAAATTATTTTCAATGGAAAAGGCAGTCAAGAAACAGATAAAAGAAAGTGCAATTTAACAAAAGAAATAACGATACTTCATTGAACACTTCACTTTGCATTTTCTTGGCTTTTTTTTTTTTTTAAGAATACTGGGCATCAAACTCAGGGACTTTTGCAGTCTAGACAAACAGCTCTCACACTGATTTATATCCCAGCTCTTGTCTTTTGTTTTCAATCACCGCCCACAAACAGTTAGAAAAGGTAGTTTATAGCATAGCAAATAACAGAAGTATGCTTAATTTCCCCCTAACTGCATATGTGTTTTTGAATAAACTATATGATCTTTTTTTTTGGTTTACTGTGTTTTCACTTCTAAAAAATATGACACTGAATATAGCTAGTAAAGCAATTTAGCACTCACAAATGACAATGCTACATGAGATCTAGGATTGACATTATTATCAAAGCCTTCACTCACACTACGTAAGAGGACATTTAAACATGTCATCCCTGATAAAAAAAATCAACCCCTGGGCCAAACTCAGGATGACCTCTGTTTCTAAAAGATGACACCTCTCCTGTGAGCTTGTATACACAGTTTCCTTTGGGTGCATCTAACATGTTATTAATTTCTGAATTGCTTTTGTTGCCATCTTGTTTCCTCCTACATTATTTGTGGTCAGACTTGAGCTCATTATCCATAATTTGCTGCTGCATGAAGAAGGATTATCTTACATCTGCTGTATGCAAGACAGGACTGGACATTGTTGCACTATTTTCCTCCTTCCCCAGGAAACACTGGAGATGGCTTCAAAAAGTTTAATCTTCCCCAAAGTCCAGACTCGACAGTTCTCCCTCTATAAGCAAAGTAGAGTTGAAACGGTAAACATGCTTGCATTTATCCTTTAAGCAGTCAGCAAGACTGGAAAGCAGTATATTAGCAAAGGAAAATGCTCTATAAAAAGCGGAGACGAGTGTACTCAAGGTTTGAAAAAAAAAAGGTAAACTTCCAGTGTGTCTAAGCAGCAAACACAGCAGCCTGTGTGTGGAAGCGGCCAGCGGCCATTAGAGAGGACAGCGTCTTTCCTGTAATTGCCGCCTGCATTCAGCATAGACAGGAATAGCAGGGATGCTTATGAGTGACTGATGACAAACTCCCCTACAAGAACTACTTAATTGCTTTCAGAGAATCATCCCCCTTGTTGAACATATTGTTCAAACATATGGGAATTTGGGGAATTATTTAATGCCAAATGAACTGAAATCAGCTAATTAGATGAACCCTCACACTCATTGTGAATAGCAAGACTCCTTTCAGTAATAATTTAAACTGCATTAGCGGGCAGAGGCAGGGCATATTGAGTATTGCAAAAGCATAGAGTAGGAGTTTTTCCATTAAGCAGGCATGGGACATTTCCATAAGTGCAAAGTAAGTAAACCAAGATTTACATCTAATCCTCCTACCATAAAAATAATGTCTGTGGGTGTCAGTCTCTCTCTGGTGGAAAAAAAAACCTTAATCGCTCCGTTTTTCCCCATGATTAATAATAATTTGCCCTTTCCTGCTACCTTTTCTCTGTGGCAATCAGGGAGATTTACAAACATTAATTAAAGCCCTCCACACACCTGTGGGGGCAGGTGTTCATGGCAGAAGGTCACAGAGAAGTCAATCAAAGGGAAGGCAACAAGATCACCCTACATTTCTGACTTACCAGCTCCTCCTCTCTGTGACCAGGCTGCTCTTTTCTTCTCTATCATTGTTAGGAGATTTATGGCCAAATAGTTGCTCTTACAACATCCCCAGGAAAGAGGAGGGTGAGAATTTATTCCCAGTGTAGAGAGAGACATGGGTTCGGGACATTTGAGGACAGGCTGGGGAGAAGCCTTTAAGTGGGTGTGGATGAAAATGATGTTTTGTAAAAGAAAAAAAAAGCATAGATGACATTTAAGTTCTCTCACATTATATAACACATGATAAGGCAATATTCGTGTCCCGGCTGGGAAAAAAATGCAACAGTTTTCTAAAATTGTTGTGAGCTAATAATAGCTATGAGCAATTAACACAGTGATTTCAGGGCAATAGTATGAGTCACTTCACTGGATCCTACACCTACTGTCACTTGTAGACTGAAAGCCCTTGCTGCATGGGCTTCTGTGGCCTTTTCATTCTTCTCTCTAGGTATACATGTACCGATGTGTCTCATGTATGTGCCTGTGTTTAGCCCTATTGTTTGAATCCTGTGCATGCACAGGAAAAGATAAATAATTTAAGATCCAGGTCTTATTTCTATAGGAACTCTGCTGGCTGAGATTTCTAATTCAGTAAATTGTCACCGTACCACTATGTGCTTTAACAAAGTTTTTGAGGCCTTCTGAGTGAACACCGTGTGAATTTAAGACACCTGGGCAGTGAGATTGGTCTGCCGATTTCATCTTTCGTACCCCCACTCTGCGTATTTGTCCTCAACCTGGCAACCTCAGTCATCCTGCTAAAAATGGCTTGTTCTTGCCCCGCAGGATTGCTGCAGTCAGCCTCCACTGCTCTGTAGTGACCCTCCAGACACCTAAGTGAGTTAGCACCATCAAGTGCTTCAGGTCTTTGTGTATATGATACCTACTAAGAAAGCTTCCCCTGCCCATGCTTTGATAATTGCAGCATTCCTTACACCAAAAGCTGATCACTCTTTTTCTTTTTTTTCTGCGGCACCTAATGCCTTCTTGTATACTATATAATTTATTCAGTAGTATTTGTCTTCTGCACACTAGAATGTAAGCTGCATGAGCCTGGAGAGTTTTGTAAATGTTTTGTTTATAACTAATTGCACCCTTAATGCCTGTTATATGCTGGTTTCAAAACATCTGTAGAAAGGAACATAGAAGCCACCTTAGTGGTTCCCACTGATCACCTCTAGAACATGTTAAGCATCAAAATAAATAATAGTAGTAAAGTATTAGAACTCATTGGGTCATGTAAGAAGACACAAAAGCTACTGATACAAATGAATGAGAAGGAAAAACTTCCAAACAAAGAAAAACTAATCAATGGGGAAAACTATCAATTGGCAATCAACTACATTAATACTTGATTCAATGAAGCATCATAAATGAATGCTAATATATTGGATGAATGTCCCAAGAGTAATAAAGAACTGTGCGTATGGTCTCAAATTATCTTACCACAAGGGACTTACTAATTACAAAAAAGTAAAATATCCTCTCACAATGAAGAATTTTGGATGACACCAACTAACATCTGTTATAAAAGTTAACATTGTTAATAAGGAGATGAATGGACGGAATACCTCTCCTGATAGGACACAGTGGAGAGAACTGGCATCAATTCTGTGGCATTCCTGCCCAAAGAACACAACCTGATTCTCACCACAGGGAAACATCAGACAAGTTCAGCTCAAGGGACGTTCTGAAAAACACCTGATCAGCATGCTTAAAAATTGTCAAAGTCACGACAAACAGACCCCTTGTGCCAGATGAAAGAGCCTAAAGACACAAGAAAATCAAATGTAATCAACTGACGTGGATTTTCATTTGCTACAAAGGATGTTGGCTAACAGGTGAAATATAAACAAGGTCTGTGAACTAGGTAACAATATTTCATTAGTGTTAGTTGCCTGCTTGTAATTATGCTATTATGTAAGATATTTTATATTTGAGAGACATATACACTGAAGTATTGGGGTAAAGGGCACCTGGTTCACATAATTAAAAAATGTGTATGTGTACATGTATGTATTTTATTTTTATATATACATGCACAGAGAGAGATGAACATAACAAATGTAAAATATGGATATTTATGAATCTGAGTGTAGGGAGTAAGTATTCTTTATTACTCTTGCAGGTTTTCATTAAGTTTAAAATTATATAAAAATGAAATTTGAATGAATGGCTACATGAGGATAGAAGAACTGGGGAAATAATTTCCAGAATTTGTACAATAAAATCAGCAAGGCCACTGACTATTACATACTGTACTGGAGGTAACAGAGGTGATGCAGCTGGTAATAGCAAGGGGATGGGTCCTACTGCACCTTGTAGTAACTGACATTTTGCTGCACCTCCCTGCAAGCCAAGGTCAAAGGTCATGGTGAAGGTCAGCTGCCATGCAGCAGCTGCTGGCCATGGCAGGTGTGGAGGTATGTGCCCACACGTTCTGCTTTTGCACCTAATATTTTTTGATCTGATGCTAAGGCTGTGAAATGTCATTTCCTTCAAGCAAAAAATAAAACAGCTCCAAGTTTGGAGATGAGGTTTTCATTGTTGTTGTCTGCCATGCTGCGCTTAGTAATTATCTTTCCCTCCTTCCGTCCTATG